GCCCATCTTGCCGCCGCCGCTCATCCAGAAACAGTCGATGCCGATTCCATTGCAATCAGCCCAGCGCAGTCCCCCAAAGACGTCGGCATCCTTGACAGTGTTGCCGTCGTTGGTGTAGGCGCTGTTGTGGCCGTGGTAGCAGATGGCAATGTCCGCATTGGCGGGCGCCGAGTCCAGCGACGCCTGCGCTTCCCTAGCAATACAAGCGCTTCGATCATCGCTCTGCTGTCACTCGGCGGGGCATCAGAGGTCAGGTCACTTCGTCCCGACATCACGCACGGCACAGGAGTACATACAGCGTGAGCAAAGCCAAGTAGGGCAACAATGGGCAAAAGCTTGAGCATCTGCATTGTTTGCAATGAGCGCCTGATAGTATGATACGGTAGTGTACGGTAGTGTACGGTAGTGTGTTGAGCGAAGGAGACCAAGGGACTGGCCTGCAGCCCTGCTTTTATCAGCGACGTCTGACGGCTCAACTCTTGGGCGCTGGTGAAGGTGGGTTGGCGTTGGTGGGGTCAGACCCTCTCTTTTGTTATCTGCGAGTGGGGACTGCGGGCACACAGCGTGTGGGGACGAGCACAGGTGGGGCATATCGTGCGGGAACGAGTACAGGTGGGGTACGGATGGGTTGATTGCTCGTTTCTCCTCTTGGAGGGGCTCGTTGCGAATGACGGGCGTTCTGCCGACTGGATTGATGGGGAGGTGGGACCTCAAAGTGCGCAGAACAGCCTCGTCGCTGCACTCGATCAACTTTGATGCTCACCGAGCTGAGCCACGCCTAGAACGGCAACTGTGTCAACGAAACGCTCAGCTTGCTCGCCGCCGTATAGCGACACACATGATCTAGGAAACGATACACTAAATTGACAAGGAGGATAAGATTGCTACCCCGCCTGGGTGACTGGCAAATTCCGTCGGCGTTGTCTTGGGCATGAGTGTGTGTCGACCGAATCAAGTGTGGCAGTAAATGACCTTGTCGTCGCGGTGGTAGTCGCAGTTATCGTTGCGCTTGACGAAAGCGAGGTTGTCAGAACCGCCGTCACCCCAGAACTGGAAGATGTTTTCACCCTTCATCCAGAAGCAGTCGAGACCGATTCCAT